GCTGGAAGGGTCTATTACATTACACAGTCAGTAGGCCGGTCACCGCCACCAGCCAACTTCCCCAAGCTGGATGAATAGTTATAAGACATGTCATAGTAATGTAATATATTTCATATTTGCTATTATTTACAATTACAAATTGGCAACCAGACTTACCGTTTAAAAAAAAAAGGACGGTTGAAAAAAAGAAGGAAGGAACTCAGACAAAGAAAAACCAACATTTTGTATTAACATGCCAACAAAATTTAATATTTTTACCCCCACCACTTTAGAAAGCCTATCCTTGAATTACACATTTGAATGCATCAACAATAGTGGCGTATATAGAAGGCCTGGCATGCCATTCCTAAAAAAATGATTCTCCAAAAGGAAGTATATAAAATCAGAATATATTTGGGAACCTGGTGTCAAGCAGGAACCTTTTAGTTTCAACCTTTTTGAGTACCTTAAATAACAATTAATATTTCATAACAATACAGTAGTTTGAATAATCAGGAATTTGAAAGAAAACAATCTAAAATATAACCACAGGAAAAAAAATAAATGTATGAATGGACAAAACTGTCTTCACGGTCACTGACCAAAGCACTAGACAATAATGGCTGAAGTCATCACGTAAATATTCCTTTTCTTCTAAGAAAACAAAATATAGGAATAAAGAATAAATAACATAACCATAAGTGTGCCAGAATTTTTTGTTTCGACTGTTCTTTTAGAGAGACTCAATTTGGCCGGCTAAAATTTGAGGTTATGCTCGATTGTTCTTTAAAGCCAGGCACACACTCAGCCCGACAGTCATCATCCGAGACAATTCTACAGAGAACACAATGCCATGACGCGTGCACAATGGATCGTTTTTATTGCAGATCAGCTAAGACTGCCACCGACATCTATCGCTCAGAAGGAGCAGAGCTGTATTCGTTGGATATTGTGATCAGCAGCTAGTAATGAGCGCAGTTGTGTTAGAACCTACCTGGTACCCACTTGTACTCCTGGGTGGAGAGAGGCAACCGTAAAGTGCCTTGCCCAAGGACACAAGGGAATTGCACAGCGAGAGTTTTGAACCCCCGACCTCGAGGTTGGGAGTCCAAGCCACAACCGAAGTACCAACCGCTTCTACATTATGCCCATTTGAGTTATTATAGACAAAAACTGCTAATTCTATTTAGGAACAACCCTTTGCACTGAACAATGCTTTGGCGGATTTAGAGGTGGCGTAAGGGGCGTACGCCCCCTCTATTTTTTGTAAAAAAAGAATTGTGTAAAGTTTATCAGAAAATTACCAAGGTAAATAGTAAAAATCAATTAAATATAACATCTAATTAATAAAGGTGTTAAACATTTAAGGGCTATTAACCGCCTTGCATCCCTACCAGAGGCTCTTTCCTGAGATTCCTACTCATTTCACACATCCACGCCCCCTCTTTCTTGCGAGGTTGGATCTGCCCCTGGAATGCAATTCTAAAATAACCAATGCCCCAATGAAAGTAATAATTTACTTTTAAAATACTAAGCAAGTATTAAAATATCACATTTTAAAGTTTTGAAACAGATTGTGGATTCATTGATTAAGTGAATTATTAATCTATAAAAACAGGAAGGTAATGCATTAAATAAATATACTACAAATACATGCATACCATAGAATAAAAAAAAATACATTATAAAATTTTTTTTTTAGCTGCATACAATCGAAGTGAAAAAGATGAGGTGGCTAACACAGCAAGCACAGCGACACATGGAACCCTTTGACAAAAACAACACAGACAGCAAATAAAAAGTTGGGAAGATCAATACTAATAATAGTAATTAATTCTAATTTTATTGTATATATGCCAAAAAATGAGAGTTTACTAATACTTTTATAATAAAGCAAATATTTAATCATTCATTCAATTCAGAAAATACTTTTATCTTTGTACCAAATGAGGAGGAAGCATTTTGCCATGCTTACAATCCACATACGGTATAAGTAGGCCCAGCACATATACGTACATGCGGTTTTGACCGGAAGACTCCCATTTTGAAGACATGACTCCCGGCGATTTTTTTTCCTCACGTTTTCTCACATGCTCTCCCAGTTTACAAAAAAAATTGCATAGGTGCGTACTAATCTTAATTGTACTGTCTTTTTTGCAATAGAAAACTACGAAAGACCTCAATATTTAGGTTATCTTTCAATATTTTGCTCGGCGACAGCATAGCCTCTCTGTGATGAGTGATGTGGAAGATATGGATTTGAGCACTGCAAAGGCACGCTCGAATTAAACACACTGGATATTACAAGGTGTCTGCTCACTGTAAAGACTATAAAAGCGTAAATTCATGAGATATACTCTTACGATATATTGAATAACTAAAGCTTAGAAGTTCACATCCCATGAACCCCTGTGTAATGGGGAGATCACCTCCCCAACCCCCTATAGGCCAAGGCTTCGCTCGGCGGTCATCAATTCTCCAGTTTTTAAGATCAAAATGTTGGCACGTATGCTTATATCAGCAGGTTTTGAGCTCTATACGGACCAGCAGTACATTCACTAGTCGGCAGGGGCTAGGCTGAAGGTTGCAGAAGAATATGACCCACAGAGTTTTCATTGTAATAAAAATACCACAATTCCGCATTCACAATTCCCCCACTCCCATCCCATCAGATGATACCAATCTACACTTGGTCCTGGTTCGATTAAATCATGGACTAGACTTACATCTTGTCTATTTTCTATTAGCTAAAAGCTGCAAAAAACCAAACTATCTTGAATATGGAATACTCTGAATACTTAATGGCAGTGGTATTTACCAGTGATAAAGTATATAGGTTGTGACCTAATCATGCTGAATCTATTATTCATTTGGCAGATGAGCCAATCCGCCTAACTGTCTACACCATTGCCAAGCCATTTTACAGTTTTTTTAAACATAAATATGTATATTTATCATCTATGTTGACTTAATAAACAAAGAAATTTCACAATCAAACTAAATAAAAAATGTTTGGTAATGAAAACATCAGGTGATAGTCATTAAAAAGTAACCGATTAAAATCGACAAATGCCAACATAAACCATCTTCCTCTAGGCTCTAGCCAATCAAAGTCGATGAAAATTAGCTTTCAATCTAAATCTGTACATCCACACAACTAAAGTACCATTATGTACAAAATGAAACTTCACCCTTAAATGCTATTTCAATTCTTCAAATATTTGACGTGCTACAAAAGTAAATACTTGAAACTTCTGCTGACAAACGACTTTATATGATAATAAAAATGCAGTAAAAGATGTAAAAGCAGACATGAAGGAAACAATGTAACCAGATCATCATACATACTATACACTTCTCAACTAATAAAAGAAAAATACTCAGGCAAGAATAAAAACCTATTATGGTTATGCATTACTGAATACAATAGCACATACCACTGCACAGTTTCCCACAATTCAATGCAAATTGCTAATAAATATTAGTATTGTTCTGGTTATTGCATAATATAAGGAATGCAACTTACTAAGCTTATAGTTCTCAAAATAACAATATTCTCTGAAAGGGCCTGCCATTTTTGAATGCATCTAGTAATCAAAATAACAATATTCTCTGAATGTACCTACCTATGTGAATGCAAAGCGAAATCCAGGTAAACACCAGCAAACTGAAAGAAAATAAAAGAAAAATATGCTATTTCATTAAAAAGTACAAAAGCCAAGTTAAAAAAAAATAAACAAAAAAGCTGATGACCAAAAATAGAAGTGACAAAATACAGGAATACAAATAGAATATACTGTTATCATTTATTTAAATACACTTAAGTAACTAAAGCCGGACACACACTGTATCGTACGATGGTCGAACAACCGTCGCATGACGAGTCCAACTCCGCTCCCCGTTAACACTAGATGATGCGACGCTGTCTGCTGATTGCCGATGGCAGTCTGAACGGATCAAAAACGATCTGTTGCGCATGCGTTGTCGTGTTGTGTTCTTCATAGAATCGCATCACCTGACGATAGTCGGGTGCTGAGTGCCTGTCTTAGATATAATACCGAGTAACAAAATGTTTAAGTTCGCTACACGATCAGTTGATGAGGAATTGTAATCAGTTTGTGAGCATGCAATTAATAAATATAGCCATTTTAGAATAGAATGAAACAAACCCGACCACAGAGAACAAGTGGCATACGAGTCAAAGACATTACTTGCGTTATTTTATACATCTACACTTCAGATTTTCTTTCAGTTTCTTTCTACTTCCTCAGATGTGATAATGCATTCCTCAATAATCCTAATTTGTCTTAGGTGTAATTTTATTATAATTCCTCAAGACTGAGTGGTTTCATTACCACTGACCAATGCAGTTAACTTCACATAAGCCATTAGAATGTGAGCACTTCTGGTTTATAAAGCTTGGGCCTGCTCGTAGCTGACACTTGTGTCTTACATAACTATCAATGCTATTTTATGTCTACCCTCCTGTCCTACTTTTTAGATATCATTAGGATGTCAGCTTTACCCATCAGAACACCTTTAATGCATATCTCTAATACTGAGGTACAAATAATAGCAATTAAGCAATTAAGGTATTAAAATGCCATGATTAACAAGCAATTCAAATTAATTAGCTTTTTAATATAACATGCGATAATTGGCCTCCAGCAAGTGCTTTGGATCAATTCAGTTTCAAAGAATTTGTTTTTGATATTCTTTTAATGAACATCAACTTTGCTCTGTTTAATGGAGAATGGCCACTGATGAAATGTTTTCCCCAGGCATGAAGCACTCACTTTTAATTACGAATAATAAAATGGGTGAAACACTTTTGAGTGAACTTATACCTAAGGGTCCTACATATGTGATGAAGATAATAAATGATATGGTTACATTTCATTGTAAAACACACCTAAAACAATATAATATATATATATATATATTTTTAAGTACTATAAAACATGTAAGGGTTAAATAAAATTATATCATCAAAGATTATGGTAATAATTATTATTATGATTTAAAAGCATCATTGCACTTAACACGCTGTGCAAAAAATAACCACTACGAAAAGAGGCAGACTTCAGTTGACTGCAAGGCATCAAGGGAGGTGTCTTTATGAAAGGCAGAAGTTAATGATGAATAGAATTTGATGATAATGACGACAACAATGATGATGTTGATGACGACAGATACAAGATGTGGTGATATAATGACATTTAGATGATGATTATTATCGTGATGGTGATAATGATGACAATGAAAATGATATATAATGATGAAGATAATAATGATAATGATGAAGATAATGACAATGAGGATGCTGATAATGATGAATGTGATGATAACGATGATGATGATAACGATGATGATGATGATGATGATGATGATGATGATGATGGCGATGATGGAAGATAAAAATAGAAATGATTGGGAAAAATCCCAGTTTGGATGTGAATATGATCACATGACACAACATACAGACTTCTCACTCCTGCTATCATATAACACCTTTGCTGATGAGTAAATGACGAGTGTTTACAAACAACGCATCGTCATCACTATCACTCAATAACTTTCCCAGCATGTTTTTCCACCTCTCTCATCAATCGGAAAAATCTTGTTGTTCTACACACGGTTCACTTCTGGTCAATACCTGCACTGAATGCTTATGTGCAATTACATTTGCATGCTCAGTGAATAGACTAAACACGTAGTCGGTAGTTCGTTACGGTTATTAATTGTTAGCTATGCTGCTCAATTACTACACATGTGGATAATTTTTTCAGGTGGTTGATCTTGCTCTTCTATAGTCTGTATATTGCGAGCTTATGTGCTTGATGATAAAAGAGATAGCTATCAATAACAATTAATCATTAATCTTTACTATGTATATTTGGGGCGTACTTTAATTTATTTATTTATTTCTTTCTTTTTTATGATTACACCTTCAGTGATGCAGCACTAGTATCACAAGCTGGATCACAAGTAAAAAGAATAAAAGGAAAGCAAAATGAAAAAAGAAATTGAACTTAAAACAAAACTAATGAGTTAAAGAAAAACAATATGTACATAAATATAACACCACTGTATCAAAAACTAAATTACTCATAACTTACTTAATTTTAAACAAAATTGAAAAACAAAAAGCAAAAAGAAATATGTTAAATTTTGATTAATATTTTGTCTAGAAGAGAGTAATTAAATAGTGTTAAATTATACATTGTTTAAATGATTCTTAAAAGACTGTACAGAAAGTTAATTAAATATTGTTTTAATTTCATTTGAAAGGCTGCTCCATACCTTAGATTAGACTGGTTTTTCAGCCTTGGGGGTGCGAAAAATGCAGAACTAAATCCCAGAATGCAGAACTAAATCCCTATTCCAAAGAAAAAGTATTTTAACCCACTTAGTGGAACTAATTTGCTGCCATGGGAGGGGGAGAGGGGAAGGGTCTGCACCCCCAGCCTACAACTATGTAATATGATTATTTTTTTTACCATCCTACTTCTCATTTCCTTGTTGCAATTTTATAATAAAAGTATACCTGTTGCCAAATTATATAATAAAATTATCTTTTTCTTTTGTATACTATTGTATTTTTAGATGTGTATGTTTTTTTTTTATAGATATTTACGGCATGTTATATCCTGTTATGCCTTATTAGGCTTCTTGTTATTTTGTTCTATAAATATACCGGTAGTGTTATTGTATTATACCTAGGCTTTACTGATCAAATGTGGCTTATTTTTTTGTGGATGTTTGCAATAAAAATCCTGTTCAGCCTTTATGTAAGGCAAGATTTTTTTAAAGCTTGTTTTGCGAACCTGCCCCTCACCAATATAAATTTTATTTTTGGCCAAATTGCGCATCCACAGCCACAAAAAATGAAAATTTCAGAAAAAAAAAAATTGATTTTCTTTAGTTATATTACGCCCGCCACCCTGAAAACTACAGAAATAATGTATATTTCTTTCTAATCACATAAATTTAAAGCAATTAACCATCCCTTTAATGCACTGTTTACATTTATCAATACAATTATTTTATTTTTATTTTCTCCTCCGTCTGGATGTTTTTGGCATTCGCTAAATAAGAACACAAAATTTTATTTTTAATATTTTTTCCGCCCTCCTCTGACATCTTTAAAAAAAATAAGTTTGCAAAACAACGTATAAAAGAAGTGTCGCCTAAATTTGCTTGCAAGCTTCAGTGATAAAAACATCTTTAAAATGTAAAGAAAAAATTTAATTATTTTTGTTTATTTATTTTTATGATATTATGGGGATGTTTTATCCTTTATTGCCATTTGGTGATGAAAATTATTTGCCCAAGTCTATGTTGAAAATACGTAAACATCGCATATCATGCAGACTATAATGTTAATGCATGTTTGATTGCAAGTCAGTTTTTATGTCGTTACTGGGATATTTTAGTTGTCTCTGCGTCACACTCAATTTTTCGCTTTGATTTCATACATATCATTATCCTCATTCGTAACTACCCAGTACGTGTACAATGTACATGTTACAATAGAGTTGTGTATTATATTACAACTGTACAATTTTAATCCATTTAAATCTTGTACAATAAATTTGGAAGTGAATAAGGATTCAAAAATTAATGGGAATATATTTTATCACTTTGCTCAAAATTGATCTGAAATGTATCTTGGTTGGTTTTTCTTCAATTGTTTTAGAATACTATTTATACATACATTTCAAATTATTCTATATTCTAAATAGTACAATGAAGTCATTATTATTAAAATTTAAGAATAAAATTCTTCACCATTATGTAAATTTCATTCTTTATATTTAACTATAAAACCATCTTTCTGATCACCATCTATAACCAATCGGAAAAAAGTTTTAAACCATTTCTATTTTAAGCCTCATCTCATTCTCCATTACCATTATTGACTATTTCAAGACCAGGAGTTTTTGCAGGAAATAATCACAAAAAAAAAAAATAAGCTGAAATGGTACAACCAGGTGGTTGTGGCAATACAATTGTACCTCTGAGGGCAGGCTTACTTCAATAGACAAAATTGGTGACCCAAGCTTGTCGCTATCATCATGTGACTTTTAGTGGGTGTGAATACGAAGTGAGTTTAGTGTATTATTAGTAGTATAGGCTATAAGGAAAAGGAAATGTAAAACCCAGTGATAGTATGGGAGGTATTAAATGACAAGGAAAAGCAATATGACTACCTATGACAACTTAGTATAAAACATACTCCAAATAAAGTAAGACTCGTCATTGTGATTCAATATTTTGATCTTTTTTTATTTGATCATCAGGAATGACAATATTATTTATTAAGATTATCATTCCTAATGATGATCTAATTAAAAGATCGAAATATTTAATCACAATGACAAGTCTTACTTTATTTGCAGGATATTTTATACTAAGTTATCTAAAACTTATTAGTACACTTACTGGTTTTTACCTTTGACGAGTTTTTAAATACGGTACTCATTCTAACATTTTATCTTTTGACTATTCAACCCAGAGCATCTTAGAATCGCCAGTGGGTTGCACTCACATTGAGTCATTTGCAAGCTTTGGAATTTTTATTTATTTATATTTATTTAAAACCATTTCAAGACGGTGACCCAACCAAGAGAGCTCAGCATTTGGGGTCCAGAGAAACAGTCCTATTCCAGTCCCAGATATAGGTCTTATAGGCCGCCAATTTGGAATCAAGTAATTTTAAAATATTTTATTTCTACAATTGTTTTTTTAATGTTATTGTATTTGTTCACAATCAAGCAACTAACAAAGTTTACATGACTCCATGATTGTTTATTTCACTATTTCAATGCTAAACCTATTATTGCAGAGTTATCAGAAGCCAATCCTTTTTTCCTGTTACAAACCACTGAAATCTGTTTACACTCAATGCTACGTGCAATTCATCCATACACCAGAGAAATGTTAAACAATAAAATTAAATTCAAATTTAATTCTATTGTTTTTTAATGATAAGATACACATTTAATCAGAATTTTTTTTTGTCATTACAAAGTCATCTTTGAATGATAAATTTCAAGTTCATTTACAGTTGACTAGCCTGACGACAGCAGTAATCAACAATATAGGCAAGAAATTTGACTGGCAAAAAGCAATACGGCAGGCAGGGTTTGAGGATACGGTAGAGACAGAATTGCCATGAAGTGACCAAATGCTTCACTATGTACCTCATTACCTAATAGTGCTAGTTTTTAAAAACCTTTTTTAGGCACAAGGATATAAACAGCAAACTTAATTAAGCGGCAAATTCTTCACAGGAGAAACATTTAGTTACCAACCGTCTCGCATTGCACGGGACAGTCACACGCTACATGAATTTTGCAAAATCTATGCATGGTCATGAATTTATCATGCATTGGTTAAAAAACCATAGTGTCTTACTATCGCTAAAACACAAAATAGTATTGTTTCAAACATTCGACTTAACTCTACGACAGATAACTGCTGTATGAGGGTCTAGGGGCTTATTTTATAAAAAATATTCTTATATCTTCCAAAATGGAGTGCTGACACCCAGACAGCTGCGACAGGAATGCTCGATGACTGGGCCTTGGGCCCTGGCCTAGCTAGCCCAAGCTAGTTGTCCAGCTGCTGGCGCCATAACTGCTGTCCTGATTAAACTTTAAATTCTTATATTAAATTCATAAGGATGAGACTGCAATTCCCGGGAATCTAGGTACCTTTAAAACAATTCCACCTCAACTCCAACATACAATACATGATTGGCGTGATCACTCATGATGACATCTCCATTTCCTCTCGATATTAATCATACGCAATGTTCACAATTGCAACCTATCGACGAAAAAATAAAAAATAAATGGTCATGACAATCATGCTGTTTGTCCCATGACATTGAAAAGCTGTCATGTGGTCAATCACACATTTCAAAACACAAGCTACTGCCAGACCAATGATACCACAAATTTCCTTGCTATCAATCTATTTTTCCTGCACTGTATATCAATCAAGTAATCCATACAGTATATTTGTGAAAACACCAATTTGTATAGACATACTGTAGACATAGACATACTCTTTATTTAATCCACTGCTGGAAATTACATAACCGAAAATAATTTGGTTATCTCGAAAATTTTTCATTATACAGTTTAATTCCTCTAGGAATAAAAGACTGAGGGTGACGGTTCGTATTGGCGACCGGTACCCTAAGTCTACCACTACGTTCTATAATGCTTCCTACGACCACCGGATGGAGGGGATGACTTACATCATTCAGCAACCCCTCAAACTTGATCGCCAGTCGCTTGTAGTAGACAGAGTGCACCGATCGCAAAGGCAAACCGATCAAACTTTCAGCTTTATGGATAAACTTATGTAATGTTTCCCAATCCCGAATCCTCCCAAAATGTTTCCACCCCAGCAAATAAGACAATAGTTCAAGACCCCCATAATAACAGAATTAAAAAAGGATCCCAGCTATTGGGACAGTTGTGACATTCTCACACAATATTTCTATTGGGTCCACAAAGAATGGGTCCGCATTTTAAAAATGGGTCCGGATTTCTCATATTTTGAGCAAAATGGGCCAACTTTTTAAAAAATGGGTCCAGATTTCTCAAATTTTGTGTTAAATGGGTCAATTGCTAAGAAAATGGGTCCAGATTATTAATTTTTTTTGTATAAAATTGAACAACTTTTGAGAAACTGGGTCCACATTATTTGAATTTATGCGTAGAGTGGGTCCACCCTGATATTGTCCCACACTATTTCCTGGCTATGACAAGAAGAATGCAGTACACTTTTCGGAAAAGAATAGGGGATTGTCTTCGGTGTACCGACCAATTCACCACCAGAAGGATCACGAAGAGGTCTTCAGACTTCCTGGGTTATCCTTGGTGTGATTCACACCAATATACTTCTTTATGTTTATGATTATGAGTTGAGCTTAGTTTCTGGTAGAATTCCCGATTGCGTCAGGGACTGTTACGCAGTACATCGCTTCCACTAAAAACACCGTAGAAACAGCGTAGTGATTTTATGGAAACCAGGCTTTAGGCTCTTAGGTCTGGGATTGCATTAGAGAAGAGGTGGATGGTTGACAGTAGACACTGAGCGATGTTTGCCACTGCATTCAGAGACTATTTGAAATGTTGCTTTATATTAACTTTGTAATCACAAGCAGATTGACTAGATAATTAATAAGACAATTTGTTTCAATGATACGATTGCATAAAACAACCAGTTACAAAGGGATCTGTACAAATAGAATTTCATCTTGTCCAAAAGGATCACATGGTATAAAGTTTACCATGACAATGAGCTGAAACTACGCTAATTAATCTATTCAAAATTTCTTAGTAGTATTTCTGTTTAGTTTTTATGTCTTACTTTCTATTGGTAATGGAAATCAATTATAGTATATGGCTTTAATATATTTCTTTCATAATGGAATACCGGTACTGTAAATGCAATTTAATAAGAATTATAATTCAATACAGTAGTAGAATCCCTTTTTTTGGACATGCCTATAAGGGGACACTTTTTTGGCCATGAAATGAAAGATATTATATCTTCTAACTCTAGTATGGCCAACACCTATTCAATATTGTTTTTTTAATATAATAAATCATGATTGATATCTTGATCACGCTTACAGATATGGCTCTTTAGGCATTGGCATTATTATTAACGGTACTACTCTTATTATTTCATTTCCTAGAATTGAAATATTACTATGACAACTGAAAATGTATTAACATATTCTAAAGTATACAATATAGTGTACTATCATAAACTTTCAATGGAGTACATACCTATTTTTAGAAAATCTATTTTGATTATACTTTAAGCTTAGAATTAATTCATGCATCGTTTGAACAATGAACAGGAGGCTATAAATAAAGCAATTTATACTTCAGCAAGTAATTAAATTTACTAATGAAAAGTAACAATCAATGAAGCTGATGAATGGCATTTCCAATGTTCCATTATATTCAAGTAACATAGTGTGGTCAGCCTAAATACTGTACGCTACATATAGGAACGCACCATATATGTGCAGCTTGTACCATGTACAGGGAGCATTAGTTCCTCTTAGTTATGTAGGTAATTAATTCCATTAACTTTATTGGTTGGAAGTATAGTGCCCTCATCCAGTGAGTAGCATGGGATTTCAACCCAAGCTTAAAGTTTAGAGCCTCATTGCCTCCATTTCTGTTTTGTGATTTTCAAATATTTTCTTTATGATTTTCAGTATAGAGTTGTTGGGAGTGGAAGAGGGAAAGGTTGAGAGTTAATGCACCATGAAATAATTGTTGTTTTACTTGATGAAAATTAGTTTAATTGTGAAATTGGTGCACACATACAGTACGTGATTAGGTCTGCACGTAGAACCATCCACGCATGGTCATTCACGGTCACCTCATTGTTTCGGATCACATCTGTCGCCATAGAGAGGTCTATTGACTAAAACTGTCGATAGCAACAATTCTAATGGTGTCAAAAAATGAACTGGTAGTGTGAACATAACTACAATTGTCTATTCAAATATTGACAGGTCAGCATTCTTCAACCGTGGGAACCAAATTACTAACAGTAACAAAAATGCTATTAGTTATCACATAGATAATACAAATTTTTTATTGCTGTTCAACTATGCTGGAGTAAAATATAATGATCCGGTAGTTTGTTTACATTTGCAAAAAAGGAAGAATTTAATGATATCATGAATCATAAATTGATAAAATATTGATGAGTTGGATACCATAATTTCTTTTGTTTATTTTTGTTTATTCTAATATAAAAGTGACTCACCAGTCAAAAGTTATAGAAGAAAAACTAAAACTCCCAACATTTGTCAATCAATCAGGTATACCTCCCCCATCCCAAGGAACATGAAGAAAATCAGCAGCAAGCAAAGCAAACAACAAGTTCATCATAGATTCAGAAATTGTGCTTAAAACTTGTTTCTAGGGCCTGTACTCACTAACGTCTGATTCTAGCAAAGGGGAAGCCAAAAATATATTAATTAAATGGTTTTTTTTAAGTTTCACTTTTTAAATCCATACAACTTCCAAGAAATCAAATATCATCAGACAATAAGCCTGAACAAATTGTTGATAGCAATCAAAAATGTTTAATCGTTGGATTACACTACCTTATAAGGCATTGAGACGACACTGTTCATGAATAGAAACTTACTGTACATATCAAAACCAAATACAACATACTAAAATAGACGTACATTCTACCACATACTGTAATGACAATAGGTAAATATGTAGTATAAACTATTGAACTGTAGCTCTGTGGTGGTCCATTGGTGTTACTGTCGTCAGGGTAACATGCACCTCATTGACATTCCCCATTTTATCTGCCAAGATTGCAACCTACATGCATTCTTTCCCCCCTCCTACTTCCTTTCCCATTTCAAAATCTTTGTACTGCCCTCATGTACCCCCTTCCCACTCAGCTTCAAATTAATGTACACACACAACACCAAAACGCATTGTGATTGTTGGAACAGACCCAGCTGGCATTATCACTACTGAAAAAAATCTTTCTAAATTTTAGCAAAAAAAGTATATGACTTTCAAGAGATGAATTGTTTGACAGAAGTGGGTAAATCCCTACTGTAGAGTATATAGTTGCCAGATTGGCTTATAGCCACCTAGTGGTACAGACTCATTTGTTGATCAATCAATAGATGCCATCATCAGCAATCATGGGCTTTGTACCAGTAGTGGTGCAGTGGGGGAAATGTGGGTCCCTATTGGGAAGATCATACAATTTGTAGGGAAGAAAAAATAATTCCTATGTAATTTTTACAAATTGTTTGACTCTAATTCAATTAAATAAGCCTTTTAAATTGCTAAATTGTTGGAGCTTCCAGGGATTCATTCCTGACCACACTCACTTACACTCCTGTTGGAAAACCTACCTCACTTCAGAGACATCGTTCCCACAACCCTGTCTAAAAAACCTGTTTACTACACACTACATAGCCACTCCCCAATATTAACTCTAGATTCACCACTGGTCATATACAGTAGAGAGTAGCAAAAAATAAATGTTTCAATCTGTCATTACAAGTTAATAATTACCGCATCACATTCTTATGTATTTTAAGAGGGGCTTGAGGCCAGAACAAGTGAAAACTTAGCAAGAGAAATTGGATAATATCCAAATTCTCTCTTAAATTACATAAATTTGTTTGTTGTACTTGCTTTACTTTTTAAACATTAAACATAAACATGCTATATATTAAGTCGCATTGTTTACATTTTACCTTACCACTCAACAGCTCTGGGTGCGGTATATTATTTCCTTAAGTAGACCAATGCGGATGTTTATTAATTATTACATACCTAACACTGACGCTCATCACTGTTTACAAAAATCCATTTCAAAATTTCCTGAGGAATCTTTTACTCATCAACGGAGTAACAAGGAGTTTCCTTACATGGTCCTAGTTGACAGGCAGACTCCTTTCCGAGAAGACTCTTTTCGCATCAACTTTGTTTTAAAGGTTACAGCAATAAATCATACATATGGCATCATGGCATTGTCTATTTACAGATGTACTGTAATTCTGCAGAAACTATAGATAGAGAATTCAAAGCTTAAACGTAAAATTATTCTTATATACTGTTTTTTAAAGTTACTGAAAAAAAAGAATATTTTTAGATATCAAGACAAGATACAAAATAATTTCATTGTCCGAGAAAGATCAGAAAATTGTTTCCACTGGCAATATATACATACAAATCATACTCATAACAATATTAAAATAGGCCAAATTGCACTTAAATTAACATTTTTTTTTCAATTAA